TTTATAAATGAAGAAAGCCACTTTTTTAATGTTGTGCAGGATTTGGGGGTGAATGTCGTGCATATTGAGTCGAGGAAGTCCGTTCGACGTGGCTCAGAGTACGAAATACTCGTTGATGTGGAGTGTGAGCACAAGAGGATGGAACAACTCATGAGAATGCTGAGCAGAGAAGTAGCTGCTATTAATTTATCGCAGTATGAGCAGATTGGCAATGTTCCGCGTCCATGTCTCTCTACTGCACAAAGTTTTGGTAAAAAAAAATTCCATTAGCACTCTCGTCAGTTGAATCATTCATTGTTTGCTCCTTATTTTTCAAAGATTTCAGTGAAGTGGATATGCCATGGTTTCCGCGAAAAATATCCGATCTCGATCAGGCACAGAAAGTTTTGATGTATGGAATGGAATTGGATGCGGATCACCCAGTGAGTCACAAAAACACATTTTTTTTTAATATCGAATAGTAATTGTAGATAATAATCAAACATTCTAAACACTAGACAATAGATAAGACTGTGAATTTTTCAAAAGTTAATTGAATTTTCTGATACTGCAAAAATATTTTTTTTAATTTTTTTAAATTTTTAAATTTTTTTTAATCAATTAGGGATTCAAAGATCCTGTCTATAGAAAACGTCGGGAGCAATTCGCAGACATTGCTAATAATTACAGACAGTGAGTGCATTGATCGAAAATTAGCTAAAAAAATTATAAATGAAGAAAACTGTTGATTCGCTTAATTTTCTCAATTTTCAGTGGACAAGGTATTCCAAGAGTGCAGTACACACCAGAGGAGGTGAAGACCTGGTGGGTTCATTAAAAATTGAAAAGCCAGACCATTAAAAAAGAAGTTCTCACTGATTCTTCGAATAAAACTCCTCGCCTCTCGAGATTCGTGTTTTCTCCTATACTAAACTAATCAAAGGATCTTGCACGTTCTTAGAGTTGCCAATCTAAGATGAGGGATGTGACGCCCCATTTTACTGTGGAGAGTTAGAAACAGCATTGAATGCACCTTAATTGCCTAGATTCCATTTATTTTGCAATGAGAAACTTCAGAGGGCAAATGGATTCGATGGATAAATCCCATTTAGCGTCGTCTCTCGCTTCCCACTCAATTGGTTTAATATTATTTCATTTGCAGGGCTACTGTCTTCCGTGAATTGCATCAACTCTATTTGAAACACGCGTGTAAAGAATACCTCGATAATTGGCCTAAATTGGTTAAATATTGTGGCTATAGGTATGATATTATCATTTTTTCCTCAATTTGCAAAATTCACAAATGTGCAATGACTTTCATTCCAGAGAAGACAATATTCCTCAACTGCAAGACATCTCCAACTTTCTGAAACGTAAGAACACGAATAAATGCATATTATTTAGGGATCGTTGATATTTATCAATCCGCATTCAAGCGATTCACCTATTTATTTCGTTTTAATGAAGGAATGACTGGATTTCAACTGCGACCAGTCGCTGGATATTTGTCACCTCGAGATTTTCTCGCGGGACTAGCATTTCGAGTTTTTCACTGCACTCAGTACATACGACACTCTTCAGACCCTTTCTATACACCTGAACCGTAAGAATTTTCCTACCAGTTACTCAAATTTATTTCAATAGGGAATAAAATAGATACAGTAATTTTTACCAAATAATACTTCCATCGCTCCACAATTATCGGATATTTTCTGTCAAGTGTTTCCGGTTGAAAAATGTTTCCTAAAAAAATTTGGCGACTTGATTTGCATGTAGGGAACCTTGAGGGTAAGGTTTGGCAAATTTTTTGTAGGTCTCAAGTAACAAAAATTTGAGTAGCTTCTTTACCTTTGGAAATATTCCGGATAAAACTCGCCGAAACAATTAATCGATTTTTTTCAACTACTTGACTTCTTTTTCTTTAATTCGTGATGCTCTCTCAGGGACTGTTGCCACGAGCTTCTGGGGCATATGCCTCTCCTGGCGAACCCCAGCTTTGCCCAATTTTCCCAAGAGCTTGGATTAGCGTCACTAGGAGCTTCTGATGCAGACATTGATAAACTCGCGACGGTAGGTCCTGGACGTGGTTCAGGGTCGTGAACAAATCAGTGAAAAATTTCGGACAAATTCTAATGAGAATAATGATCACTTGCAGCTGTATTTCTTCACCGTTGAATTCGGCTTGTGCAAACAGGATGGCGTCCTCAGGGTTTATGGGGCAGGTCTACTCTCTTCTGTAGCAGAACTACGACATGCCGTCACTACGGAAGAAAAAATTCTGCGATTCGAACCGGAAATCACGTGCAAACAGGAGTGCATTATCACGGCTTTTCAGAATGCTTATTATTACACCGAAAGCATCGAGGAAGCTAAAGAAAAGATGCGGTAATATTGATCATTGACTGATCATTGACCAAATCAGATAATTTTTGCAAAAAATGGAAAATTCGAAAAGACTATAACATTTTGTAATATATTATTTTAATAAATATATGCTGAAAACCTTTCAGTAATTTTGGTATAGAGAAAGCATTTAGTGGAGTAAATTAATATTATTGTTATTGTTGTTCTACCAGGGCCTTCGCCAATCAGATTCAACGTCCGTTCGGGATTCGCTACAATCCTTATACCCAATCGGTGGAGGTTCTTACAGATGCCCAGAAAATTACAGCCCTCGTGAGTGAGCTCCGGGGTGATCTCTGCATTGTATCGAATGCCTTGCGAAAAATCCAGGAACAAGACGACACGGTCGATATTGAGAGGATAACGAGTCTTTTGACTCAAGGAATCGACTTGCCCCAGGAGTCCTCATCCTCGGACAGCGACGATGGCGATAAAAGCCCAAATCTCCAGGAACCTGAAAGGAACATCGACAACAGTACCAGTCAAGAGGAATATCATCCTGACCCCAACCTCCTAGATCGTCAGCGTTGAACGTAAATATTTGGACCGCCTCGGAAGTAAGGAAAAAACAGGAAAATGCGAGCAAGACTTTTCTTTTTTCTCTTCGTTTTCTTCTTTTTTTTGCTTGATTGAAATTCTATCAAATTTCATTGACGATTTTGGACAAACGAATCATTGTCAAACAAATTAATGAATTTTTATATTTTATGGATGTGATTTCTCATTCATTGTACATTTTTTCGTCGTGATATCTGTCTTTCTTTTACCTCCGAGGCTATTTAATAATTCAGAAATATAGATAATAAGATATAGAACATCAAAGAGATTCATTTCTTTCCGCTGAATATGCCGATTCTATACATCGATGAAAATTGAATGACAATTCAATGCCCCCGGGGATGTAACCACATAAAATTCGCACCAAACAGGTGAATCCCTGAAGAAATAAATCACAGAAAGAATAGTACATTTTAAATGGTCTCTAATAGCAAGTTGTATTAGCTCTCGCTTACCGCATGTACCTGTTAAAAAATGCTTGATATTAATGTTGACAAATATATTATCGACGATGAAATAATAATGAGAATAATAAATTGAATGTGAAATCTGGAAATCCGTACTACTGCAATCATTTCTAAAACAAATAAAAATTCTTAATGAAGAAAGAGAGGAAGGACAATAACTCACAACAATGCTCTATTTATTTATTTATATTATGTATATTATGTACAAATTATTTGTTTTTCCTCTTATCGACTATGTCTGGGTGCAATTTCAATTCTGTTTTAGATTACACCAAAGAAAATTCCACAATCACGAAAGAAAGAAAATTATATAACAGTATATCTCCCTTGGGAGGAAAACACAAAAAATTGATTATTATTTTTTCGTTTTCTCCATATACATAAGTTTACTCGTTTTATCCTTCATTTTTTCAATAATTGTATGCGTGAGTTGTCTCGATTAAACTCACATTTTTCAAGTAGTACACTTCATAAGCAGTCGATCAACGGTTGAAACGAATCTATAAAAATATGTCTACTCTCACTGGCGGTGAAATTTTACCATTAACTAATACATGTCCTTATTCTTCTCCATCCTCAATCGAAAATGAAAAATAATTCCATCTACTCGTTACTTCTCTCTTCGTAACACCATTTATCTCGCCATTACAGGGAAGTCACTAAATTATCATGGACTGTGATATGCGGCCATTATTCGCACACTATTTCTGCCACTAAATCATTCTTTATTTTTATGTTCATTTTTACGGTGTCTTTCGACCAACAAAAGTGAACAGAGGAAACACTCGTTATTTTTCTTCATCATTTCTCTCCCATCGTTTGCGTTTTTCAATAAACTTCACAAAGAGGTTTTGTCAGCCACATATATACTCAAAAAGGCACGGAATGATAGTAGACGCACAGACATGCAGCATTTATTGTGACTGAAAAATTATTCATCAGCGATTTTTATTTTTTTTTTCGGTCTACGATTTCAAAGTGAAGTAATTGTCATGCTCAAAATTAATGAAATTTTAAATAATCGTAACGATAAATGAGGGAGAAATGCTACACGTGTAAAGCAGGATTCAAGCTAAAGTTAATGATTTTTTTAAAGAGTATAATCAAATCAGGAGATTATAACTCATCCATTAATTTGTCAACTCAAGAATTGATTTTAAATGATTATTGAGCCAATGTGAAACCGCCAATGAGCGCACCGAACTTCGTATATTATTAATTACACACTCTCACGTAGAAAGCAATAGAGACCCCACAGTGACTCGAAGAATAACGAAAATGATTCATCATTTGAGGAGAGGAAATTAATGGGAGAACAAACTAAAAATCGTACAAATTCACGTGAATCGATTAGCATCCAGTGAAGAAATCTGTCAGTCTCACATGTTAAAAATATCGGCAGTTTCATATATTTTTATACGCCCTGGATGAAATATCATGCATAATATTTCATACTCCTTAAAGAACAAATGGGTGAGGGCAATCAATCGATTTCACTATCGAAATGAAAATGTTAGTGTGCAGGCGTTCAAATACTAACTTATGCCGAGAAGCGAGTGGTATAAATTTGAGCCAGACGTAGAAAAACGAAAAAAAAAACTGAAAAAAAAAATGAGTAACAGTAATTAACGTTTAATTTCGAAAGAAAAATCTGCTCACTTTACAACAGGTAAATATCAAAAACAAAAAAATGTTCGTAGACCCATGTTTTATAATACACATTTCTCGTAGTGTTAAAAAATCAGACTTTCTAGGCCTGCGGTCCATGAAACCGAGTACATTTACATTGTGTTGGTTTTATTGATTATTTTGTTTAATTATTATTTAATATTATTATTCATTTTTTTTTTGTGGGCTCCAGTCTAATCACAGTTTATGCCGATCCATGGCATGTTTGCCAGCCACGAGTATCAATATGTTGTTATTTCTTTTAAACCATAGGAACGTAAATTTTTAACGCCTTGGATCCCCATAAATGGTGAAAACACGCACCGATTTTCATCACTGCTATCTAATTGATTTTTTAATTATTGATAATCAACACTGGGTTTCCATTTGTTCTTGTGATAAATTTTAAGCTTTTTAGATTTATCCCACGCGACTCTCGATACTCATTTTTTTTCTGAAAACCTGCGTTCGTGCAATGCGACAATTATCGAGTACTTTTAATTGTCACTATGATTTTCCCTCGCTTTAATTCAATATTCAAGTTACCGGTGGAAAATATTTCAAAGATCGAAAGAATTGCTCGAGTGTCTCGTTTTTTTTTTTTTGGTTTTTACAAAATCAATACTATGATTTTAGTAATCAGATCCAAGGCATTGCTATCGTCATCGTTTAAGTATCTGCATATTTATTAATCCTCAATTCTTATTATTAATTTACTTCTTCTTTTTGTAATTTGTTTTAATGCGACTGATAATTACAATAGTTACAAATTGTTTGTTATCCCATTGTTGTTTGAATACTAGCGTTTTGAAGAATAAAAGAGGGGGAAATTAATGGAGAAATCATTGATAATGAGCACAATGTATCCACGGCATTCATGAAGCGTGTACTACCCATTTTTTTTTGATACTCTTATCATTAACGAACATATTTTTTATTTCTTCATTTTGAATACGCAATCTTGCGAGTTTATTATCCACTAAATCGAGATGAGATGCCGTCATTCTTTCTCTCAGCCAATACAATTTTTACGTTAATTCTTTGTTTTTCTATTTTGCATTATTATTTTTTTTGTTGTTTTTTTTTTTGCTTTTTATACATTTTAATTTATTCTTTTAATTTGGTAACTTTTTTTATTGATAAACCCTAAGAAATGCGCATTCCTCTCATTATTTTAAATTCATCTTGTCGTCAATGTAATTACATTAGTTTGCAAGGTAACCGTTACCCCAGAAATAGGCACGTATTATAAATTTATTTATACTTTATGCATTTTTCTTTCTCTCTTCGCATACCACTCAATGTTTTTTCCCCATTTTTATTCTTTATTATTTTACGAAAAAATATATAGAAGACAGAGTCTTATTCTGAGGAGGGTTGTCTCGGTCAACTCAACGACATTATGTTATTTTTATTTTATAATAGTTGTCACACAGAGACAAAAATTAGTCATTAATTCGCACACTTACAAACCAAAGTTCGTTCAATTATTGTTTATTATTTTCTTTTGTCACGCACATTTGTCCAGCTCAGGTAATTTTACCAATAAAAAAAGTATTATAAATTTGCTTCTCTTTTTTTCCCATCATTCCCATCTTTTTTTATTCTCGCTACAATTCCCATTCATCTCGTCGTAACAATCTTGACAATTAAAAAAAATTTTAATTCTCTTTCGTTTGATATACGTGAGCGATTTGACAATGTCGAAATGGGTATCAATCAGTGCTCTTGAAAAATCAAATGGGGAAATTAAATTTCACTAAATTATTTTCAAGAACATTGTGAGTCTTTTCCGAGTACTCACAAAGCACAAGCCATTGAACACAAATGAAAAGTGATCGAACCTTTTATGTTTATTCCTTTTTTCCATTAATTTTAAGGTCTCATGTTTAATCCAAAGAGAAATCGCTCTCGAAGTGTAAAAATTAAAAGGCAGCATTGCTAACTTAAAAAAAATTGTTTATATATCATATTTATATATCAGTAAATCCCTTCGTAGTTTCGAAAAAAAAAAATTGTCTTCATTTTTCACCCTTTTTGCAACGGATTAGTCCTCATGAAATCATTATTTCGCTTATTACTTCTGCACGCACATCAGTAACAAATATATCATATGCGCATCTTTATTCTTTTATCTGTTTACTATAATGTATAAGTTTTACATATAATCGTATAACATCTAAAGCCAAGCTCCTGTAATATACATAACACTTGAGGCACTTAATTGTGTGCTCAAATTATCATTTTTTATTTATTCTTTATTTATTTTTTTTATTCACCATTCATCCATTTTCACCTCGACTTAAATCATCATTATTTACCATTTTTAGTTTTTAAACTTTTTTTTTATGCTTTTTGTGTATTTTTTCATTACTCTTTAATTATTATTTATTTATTCACTTAACCGTTACTTCATCATTTACTTTTTTTATATTTTTTTCTTGTTGCCAAAGTATAATTCTAAATCGTATGTTATCTCTCGTAACAATAGTATTAAAAAAAAATGAGAAAAAAAAAGTAAAATAAAAAGGGCCAGTGCCGTAATTAGGTAATGCAAACCACGTCACAAGCGGGAGGCTAGGGAGCATGGACACAAATTATTTATCATTATTATCTTTCTTTTTGTTAATATTCTCCAGAATACCGACTTCTACTGGACGTATTCCCGCGTTATCCCCCAAATCTAGTGATTCGTCTATTGTTTAACTATCAATTTTCATATTATGGAAGCCATCGCTGTCAATCCGTCGGAACCCTTCACGAATTACTACTTACAACAATTAAAATGAAAATGTTTCACCAGATAAATCATAAAATCCAAGGAAATTTTCATCCGCAATATCCCCTGAATCGCCTAACCGATAAAATATGAGAATCAATATTCTGGAAAATCGTGAAAATAATCAGAAAGATACTGATTGGTGAACTGATACTACAGATAATAAAAAGTTTTAATAACCATTGAGTTATTACTGGGGCTGACAATCATATAGCACGTGAGTAAAAACTAAAGAGTCGAACAAAATTTTTAACCAACGAAAATGAAAATAAGAAACAGAATAAATCGTTATCGATCAGTATCATTGTAAATTACATATTTCGTTGCTTTAGTACATCTTTTTAAACTGTGTGCACTCTTTATATACTCAGAATTTGGCACAAGCTAATGATTTTAATCATTAATAATTTTAAATCATTTTTATTCATTGTTTTATTTCCCCATTTACGGCCCTGCGCTATGTAAAGGGTAAAGGGAGGACGAAGGAATTAAACGATTAACACCTTAGGTTTAACACTCTTCTCTTTTTACAAACTAACAAATGTGTACCTCCAAAATCACAGAACCAAAGCAATAACAATACTCTCTCCTTCATTTTTATGTTCAACCCATTTTTCCATCTGTCTCTATCATTTTTCATCTCAATCCTGCAATCCAATAGCTGAATCACTCATCTCTCGGACAAATTACATATTTTTTTCTTTCTGCATTATTTGTTCTCTCGTTTTTGCAATCCATTGGGATCGTTAATTGATACCACAATTCATTGTAGGCGAAGTCACTGTACATTGTAAAAAGTATCTCAATATCTTTTTCCTTCATCTTCGCTCCCACTGTGTCTATTTAATCACTTTTATTTAAATTAGGATACGAGCATTGATAATCAATCCGTTCAATCCAAACTCGAAGGAGTAGGGGGAAGTGACTGCTTAATTAATTGATTTGCAGTAACATCTGGAAAATGGTGCAGACCGTTTTTTTTTAATTCATCATCGAGTTAATGCCTCGGGATTAATTGTGGGCGCTATTGGGTAGGCGAATTGGAGGTATTTTACCCTTCGAATGGACTGCTGACAATTTCATTGAAATTATCGATGGGATGTGCTGCGAATTTTCAACATTTCGCCATCATTTTCACGGATAATTAAATAATTAAATGGAATTTCACGACTAACTAATTCCAAACACATCTCATCCAAAATTTCAACGTTAAACCATCAACAGTACATAATGTATATAATATACATAAAATACGTACTACTTACATATTGGCTGTTTATTCGTTTCCATCCTTATCCTCTGTTTTGTGTTTTGTACAACGTAGCTCACGACAATGCTGAGCTACTTGGGCATAACTTGGCCTGTTGAGGTCCTGGCATCAGAGTAAACGTACACAAATTACACATAACTCTTCTCCCCGCCGAAAAAAAAATCACTGATAGAATAAAAGAATAAAAATTTGCCAAGCAAAGAGTGTTCACAAGAATTCCATTCACATATCATTAAAATTACAAGTACGTGAGACACGATGGAATTTCTCACCGTACCATTATTGCCCCCAACAAAAATATGTATGTATGCACCAAGAGTAATCTCTAGTCATGCTGGTACTATGTGACAGTATAACAATTATCCAAATGAGCATTCACGTTTTATCCACTGATAAACGAAACATAAAACCCCTCAGCCACCAACAATGCAACGGGACTACTATGAGCAACAGGTCTCAGAAGAACTTTAACAACAGAATACATTGATGTTACATCAGGAACAACCACCTCCATGCTACAAGAAGCATAAAAGATAGAATGAAAATAAATAATCTGTAAGAATCTACACGATAATGAAAAAAAAACCCAGATTGGACATTCCACTGATTTGAAAATAATGAAAAAAAAAAGGAGACAATTTAAATAGACTTATCAAGCATTATTTGTTGATTACTTACTAAGGGAAAGGCCGAGGCCACTCCAGTTTGTGACTGAGAATTCTGTGGGGCAGTAGGGATGTCACAATCGCACCTCGTTACCGTCTCAGACTCTTCTGCCGCATGTGCATTTGTACTTATGGCATCCACACCATTCACCATGTTCGTGTCATCAGTCTTTATAGATCTGTCAGCGGTTGATTTTTCAATAATAAACGACTAAACCTGAGCGTTCGAATAATTTTATACAGTAATAATAATTCCTACGTGTAATTGTACTTAAATTATGCAAAAAAAGAGAATTCAAGGTATTGTCGTAATCAAATTAATCAAAGGAACACAAGAAGAGGAACTCTCAATGCTCGACTGTTGACCGGCAAACCGGTGCCCCATGCAACAAATTTTGACAAAAATTTCTCGGAATTATTTCTCAGTCAACTTTATTCAACAAATTTTTTCAGCCAAATGATCGATGGGGTGGGATTCTCGCCAGGTTGCAACACATGGTTAATGAACCAGTACACCTTTATTAACTTCCATCGACAATGATTCTATCCTCTCATTACCAAATAATAAAGACTCATGCCTGTTGTCTCATGTCTTCAAATTATATTTCTCTTTAGTCCTCGTCTGGTTTCATAACGAAAAAAGCAGAAAATTACAGCTTAAATCATACTTTAAAAACTATAAACTTTTTTCGTTTGTGCGTGAGGGGGGGAGGGGGGGGGGGGCTCCATCAATTTTCGTCATTCTCTTTTATCGTAAATCAGAAAATACGTTTAAAAGTAGCTTGAAACCGCAACAATATTGAAAGTATCATAGTAATAATATTAAAGAGCCCTGAACAACTACAGTAGTCCCTATGTATTGTTTATAATTTTCTATTGAAAATTCTCTCGTCCTTAGCTTATGCTCGTGGGAGTGCAGAGCAAGGAATCCCCTCTGCCTCATCATCATATCATCTCATCAAAACCTACCACATAGTACTGCATACATACATATTACAATGTAAATAAAAATTTGCATATGATTTTTATCATCGTCTATTCAACTACTGACTGTTTACCCAAGCGAATGCCTCGCCGTATTGAATAAAACTCCGAATAACCGCTTTAAAAGAGAAGAAATATTGAAAGTGCATTGAGACATGTATAGAACGTATTTTTCGATATTAATTCACGTCTTAGCACGAGCGGAAGTGTTTTATTGGCGAGGCATTCTCTCCCTCCCACAATTTCCATCTTTCTCTTTTGTTGGAAAGATGAATGAAACAATAGTAAAAATTAAACAGACGAGTGTCAATAAATCAATATAATTAAATGGCAAATCATAATAACAAAAGGAAAATGATAATCGAGTGCATTCCACTGAAAATGAATGAAAATAATAAACTTTCATCGGCATTTCTTTTCTTCCACTAAAATATCAACATATGTGTTACTCTATACGTGAAGGTGATTTTCATCCGTGGTAACTTGACCCACAATCAACGTTTTATTGTGGATCTAATTGCCAGCATCAGGAGAATAAGGAAATGTCCGAAGTGTTACCTCCAGCCATTTGGCAATTAAAAGAAATAAAAAAGAAAACTCTAGGAGGATAAATTCAATCCCCATCCGAAACAAGTTAATAACTAAAGACAGAAAAACCATAAGAATGTGCCTAAGCACACCGAACGTCAAAGAAAATAATGGCGGATAATTTACACAAATAAAAAATAACTGGTGAGAATTATATCATGAAACTCATAATGTCGTTCCCCTCATGCATTCATGTACGCCCATTACGAGCTTCTGTGCCGCCCATGGTTTTTTAATCAAATAGAATTTATAATTGGGGTAAATTTGAATGATCTGCCCTTCATCATCATCTCTGACCCCTCAACTTATATCTTATAAAGACTACTCAGTGTAGATAGACATCAGCGATTATACAGAAAATAAAATAATGTCCACCGATTTCCTCTTTTAAATACTACAACAAAAAATAAAATCAAATAATCATAATAGGATAGCAGGTAGTGCAATCAACGACTGTTAAAGACAATTCAGCACTCCCCAGGTCTCGCACCGTGCGCACGTTTACAAATCTCCCATTTCACTTGACTCGAAAAAAAAAAAAAAAAACACAAAACCCTCTCTCAATTTCCTTTCTCCTCGACCTTCAATCCCATATTTTCATTTTCCCTTAGTCCTCGTTAGAACTGCAAAGAACAAAAATCCGCTAACATAAAAGAAAAACTTCCGTTGAGAAGCAAAAAAAACAGATAAACTCGCTGCTATGAGGGAGATACGAAATTTAAATGGGACTGACGAACGAAAGAAGAAAGAAAATCCAGATGTAAATGGGAGGGTCCCAGGCATTGGCTCAAAGTTGGGGTCTACGTGGAAACCGTAAAAAATAAAAACTTGAGCTATATAATGAATATATAAATATGTGCCCTACTATATATACCTAATATATAAGTTTTTAGTGTATAATTTCGTTGGTTTTTATAGTAATAAAGCACAACTCACTTATCGGGAGATGACGGGGGAGTGAGGGTGATGGTACTGAGAGCGATGTCTGATGATTCAGAGGGATTTGTGCTCGTAGCACCACCAGCTATAGTTGTACTCGTGATAGCCGTTGTATTTCCAGTTGTACAATCGAACGTTGTATTACCACTTGTACCAGGACTCGTTGATCTACTGTTAATCGTAACTCCCTGCGGATTATGTTGATTAGACAATGGATCCTTATCCTTGGTAGTTTTGAGCTTCGCTGTACCCTTAACAACATCTGACAATCTATTTTGCGATTGTAAACTGTCACTCGTAACATTCGTATCACTGGTTGAATGGTTTATTTTATTATCAGCATCGAGACCTGGTAATGGTGGAAATGCTGATGCCTCAAGATCAAACTGCACAATACTTCTGCTGTACTGTACACCAGCTGTACTAGCAGCAGTCTGCGTTGACACTTGATTATCACGCAATTGATTTGTTTGACTGCTGTTGTTATTATTATTATTATTATTTGACTTTGTAAGTCCAACAGTCTCCGGTTCTTTGGTCCTGCGTGGAATACGATGACGTGTATACTGTATTGCGTTATCAATACTCGTATTATCATCCTGTGATGATGATGACGGTGTTGTCGTTGATGCTGTCACTTTTGTACCATGAAGTGCTGCATGGTACTGGGTGTCGTTGATCTGTGATGATGTATTTGTTACATTTTGAATGGTACCACTTAAATGGGAGGAATGAAATTTTGTGCCAGACTGCTGATAGGAAGATGCTCTTGATATTGGTATTTGTTGAATTGGAGGTGGTGGCAATGGATTTGTTACACTGTGTCCACCAGAATTGCTCTTAGGTGGATGACTTGTGCGACCCATTTGTACCATGTTACTATTACCACCACTCTCCATACTACCACCACGCTCTGAGCCATTTCTGTGTTTATTTCTGCTGTAATTGAGAATAGTTTAGTTAGTTTGGTATATGTGTGGGAGAGCCTTGCACCGAGAATAATATATATATTGCGGATTTCAGGAAGACAATGTTTCGATTTGGAAATAAAAATTCGAAATTCTCTGAACGAAACGGATCCCACAGGTATAAGACAAATGACAGAAGTTGACTTGCCTATTTCTTGGATTGTATCTCGTGTGAGGTTTGAACGAGTTGTGGGGGTTGAGTCCATTCATCGCGAATACACTTGTCGTCATGTCGAAGTAGGTTGGACCTGCAGCCGGGCCCCAGTGCATCATCGAAGCTGGATAGAAGGGCTGGTGCTGTAAATGTTGTTATGGCGTTGTAGAGTGTTATTGAATTGAGTTAATGAGTTTAGGAGAGAGTGGACATCACTGGATGAATTCATTCAATTAAGGTGAGAAATCGATAAAGTGCATTCATAAATTCTCCTGTTGGATTGACAATGTTTTGATGCTTGATCGATTGGTTTAGTAAATATGAAATTACTGGGGGACTTTTCTTTATTGTACTCACGTAGAGGTGGACCTGGTTGGCATATGGCGGCATTGTTGTTTGTGGCATGGTCGTGCCATTTGTGAACCGGAAGATTGGCTGACCAGGTGGATAACTGCTTGGATCGTACACCGGTGGAGGCGGGGGTGTACGATAGCCATTTTTAATACCACTAACACCAGGCACTGGTGCTGGTATTGGTAGCCTGTTTGTCATTGGTTTCGCTTTGATCCTCGCCATGATTGGCTTTCCCTTCATTATTCAAATGATTTTTTTTCATGATTATTTGGACTTTGCAGGGGATTTTAGAAGTATTGAGGGGTTTAATTGTCATTTTTTTTTAAATTTGTACCTGAAATTCTTTAACTTCCTCTCGGAGAAACCTGTAGGCCTTCTGGGCATCTTCATCAGACTCGAAAGTCACGTACCAAGAGCTATTGTGGGCAAATTCACATGAGATGAGCCTCGGGCATCCTTCGCCTGAGAATAAATTCTGGAAAAAAAATTCAAATATTAGAATTTTTTGTTTTGATCGTGTTGTCCGGCATACGATGGGAGAACTGTGGATCCGAGGAATATTTTCATTAAATTGCTGCAAGGGGCACTTATAATGATGCAAGATAATAATTATGATGATTACTTTGACTTCTTCCAGAGGTGTGTTGTCTGGTATTTCCCGAAGTATGACTATACATCGTTTGTGATTCGGCCTGACTTTCTGTCCTTCCTCATCGACTTGGACATTCGGTGATTCACGTAGCACCTCGGTTATCAACGTAATGTCCTTGGTCAATTTTTTAACTTGATTAAAGTTTGCTACTGTCCATATCGGAACATATTGATCATTATCCATTTGAGATAATAAATATGTATCATTGGCTAAGTTTTCTCTGTAACAAGAATACTCAATTGTAATCACCACTCCCAATTTTTGAACTCTTGAATATTTTCGATACTCAATTATGCGAAAACATCTGAAAATTTACAAACTAAAAAATCAACAATAGACACTAGTTCTCTGGATTATTTTTACTGGAATCATTTGTTAATTATTTCAAGAGGCGTTGAATTCGGATTCAACAGCGAATATTCTTCGAATAGTTGAAATTGGTGAATGAATGTTGAATTAACAAACCTGGAGAAGTAATATTCGAGCTGTGAAGAGAGCATCTGTTTAAGCTGATCCAATGGTATACCAGTTACCGGCATATCTGCCATTGAATTTTGGGGTAATTGTACATCACCAATTGTTGTAACATCGACTGGTGCATAACCAACACCAACAGCACCACCCAATCCAATGGTATGCTGAGCAGTGGGCTCTATACCACCCATACCTGGATCGAGCATCAGTTCGCCAGTTGTTGGTCCACCGTTCATGACACTGTAATCTAGTGTTGATGGGCTTGTAACAACAGCACCACCGACTGAACCCAGAGGTTCAGGGGTGGCTGGGTAAACCGCCCCTGGTGGGAGCTTCCCAATGTCTCCATTCATGTACACGTACCCTGCAAGATCAAGATAAAAACCATTAAAACATCATCAACACTAAATGCAGGCTGATTGGAAATATTTGTCCCATTAACTCGATTGCTGGAATAACTTGAAGTAAATGAGTCATATTTATATAGCTCTGGGTACTTAAATGAACATGAACAGGATTTATCAGCTTATCTCATGCACAAAAGCACGATTTCTCAGTTGACGATAATAATAACTACATAATTCCTAGTAATTCAATTTTCCACAACTATCATTCAATCTCCATTGTTATAAATAAATAGAAATATACAAATCAACTTGTCGATCCTAAAACATCAAGTTAACGTTAAAACCACTGGGAATAACCTTGAAATATGACCCCTCGACCCCTTTCCCGGCCAATCCACACCTAAATAAACCCCCCGAGACAACGAAATCCCCCACCAACAATAAACCTCAACCCCCCGAATTCAAATCCCAATCTCCCCAATCTTAAACTCTCACTTTTCTTCTAACATACGTTAGCACCGATCCATTTTTTCTCTGCTCCAAAGCCATGTTGCATCATGCATTAACCCAAAGACAGGTCTGTGATTAGATATCCCCAATGTCCCCCACGTTTAACCAACAAATTAGCCAATCCCCATTAGAAAACCCCCACGAAACCGCCCAAAAATTGCGAAAAAAAAAGTAAAAAAAAAAAATATATATATGTCCGCCGACAGTTAAACCGATGAGACACTCTCGTTCGCAAATGATGTGCTCTGGTTACAAAACATCCAGAATCACTCCCACATTCGTCAACCCACCGAAAATAACCAACAATAAAGACCCCCCCAGAAAAAACTTCACAATGGAAAAATTACATAAATCGTCGTCCGAAAAGCCAAATGCCCCATCTCCCCCCTCCCTCACCGCGAAAAAGACGTTGGATGACGATTGCAAAAAAGCCCCCAAAAGTGAATGAAAAAAAAGGCACCAAAAAATGTAAAATGCAAAAATGATGGAACATTGCCACATGCCATAAAATAACTCAGCTCGTCCGAATCACTCGGTTGTTCCCTCGACTCTCTCAATAGTTTCAGTGTGTTTAATCCGAATGCTGGCATCCATACAGCGTAGTATCCACACGTTAAAATAACGTTATCCTATCACCGTTAATGCAACATATCACCATTGACAATGTGAAATTTGATAATATTCAATGGTCAATGATATGCAATATGTTGAGGGGGATGAGTATACTTGGCCAAATATAGAGTGGTAGACTGGGTTGGCCGGGGGCACTTCTAAGCAATGATCACACACACGCAATGGGCAAAAGGTGACAACCCGCACTAGTCCGGAAGTAACACTAAAATGTGGTATCGAATGTCGTTACCAAATTCACCATTCATATTGTCCAACGTGTTTAAGCCGTACACCACCGCCTTATTAATCCATTTTTCCTCGAGTCCTCGTATTCTCAATAGCAATGCCAACTCCTCACGTTTTATTCCTCCACTGTTGAGTGCCTCTTCGCCCGTGGGTTTTCCCCGTTTTTCTTACACCAACCAAACAGAACGAAAAATAAAAATAATACTACTTATCACCGCAGAATATATATATCTTTTTTTATTTATTCACGGGGTTCAAGGCGGGTTTACTATTTAACTGGGCTCATTCTCACTCGATGTTCGGTGTGTGGGGCGAATATTAGCTGTGACCGTGTGGCCTGGGCCCTGTGGAGTTGCCCCAACACATTAATAACCACCATAACCACACGTACCCGCAGTGTCTCCACCTTTTCAAACGCGCACCCCTCGTTACTCCTTTTCCGGTTAAAAAAAAAAATTCTCCACTTATTTTCCTCAATTTCTCATTTCTTTTTTCCCTCTATTTTTTTAACGTACTCTCCTTTATTTCACTGAGAACCTTCTCTCCTGCCCCTTCTCTCTACACCCCCCTCCTGCTCGATACACACTCATACACACTCAAATATATAACACGTAGTCTCTCTCGTTCCTCTCTCTTTCCTCACTCACTCTCCCATTCTCTCTCCCCCTTTCCCTCACGCCCCTATTCTCTCTCTAATTCTCTCTCTCTCTCTCTGTCTCTCCTTTATGATTTTTCACGAGGTGGCTTCTATTTTTCTCACCTTTTCGTAACGTTTACTAAAGTTTAATCATTTTATCACGTAACATACGTCCGTCTACGTCATTATTATCCGCATGACAATGTTGGATTATCGATTGATCAGTGCTCGGATGATCGGTCGATTGTGAAAAGTCGGAATGTTAATATTATTTGTGGTATATTTTTAACAATTTATTATAATCTTACCGAGATGAAGGAATTCAACTCAACACACAATTTCTCAAGGAAACTACAAAATGGCCGACACAGAAAGGCACATGCCGTGGGGCTCCCAGTGCATTATGGGGATTTTGTACAACTTTGGGGGAGGGGGCACTCTCTCGCAAACTGTGTTAATACACCGGGGATAAAACGTGGGGGTTTGTCAGCGACATCTCGATGACGATGAATAGCACAGTTCTGCTGGTATCAAACACTTTTCAGTTGCTCCATACTTTTATTTTTTTTCCCTTTTTGTTTTCCTTGAATTTTCCGGTTTTTTTTTCATCCGACAACATCGGCGCACACGCACTCCCGCCGTTCAGCTTTCAAATTTTCAACCGGAAGTGCGTGATACCTCGTGGTATTTACACACCAATCAATTAATAACGACAGTCATTTTTGCACGTTTATTCAATCAGAAAACTCAGATGATTTCTTTTTTTGAATTAAATTTGCAATTGAAATTCGAAATCTGTTGGTTGACATTTTTTTAGTCTTACGGAGAGATTACGGAGTTATTGATGGACAGTGTCCAGTCGATGGCCCGGTCTACAGAATAAAGAAAAATAACCACAATGTATCACGCCTTTACCCCTGAGAAGGTTTGCATAACAGTGACTTAAAATGATTAGATTTTATGCGGGGCCCCTGAGGAATGCCCCTGGAATTTCTGTCTGCTCGTTGGAGTGACATTTTTATTTTCTTTTCAAGCGTTCTTACCTCTCTGTCAAAGGTGAATGTAAAATGAGGGGAGGAATGGATGAGCGATGGATAAATTCTCTCGGCGAGTAGTTGTAATAATTCAACGAACTATTCTCACGTGATTGTTGTCATCCACGTGGAATTCGATGGCGCACGCACTGCGGAATTTAATATTAGCGTCAGTGGATGGAAAACGCCTCTCATTTCAGCTCTACATTCCGTAATATGCCTCTGACATCACGAACACTTGCATGTCCCAATTATCTCGATCACCTTTCCGAAGCCGGGGCGTCGCAACATTCGACATTTCTTATCAGCTGGCTAAATCATCGAATTAAAAATATCATTCAATACATATTTTTTCCTTTATCACACACGTAAACCGGTTTTCTCGACTCAGTCGTTAACATTAGGGTAAATCCCAGGTGAAATCATACATCTCAAAAGCAACGGAATTTCTATTATCAGTTGATTGAAGTAGTCACGAAAAATTTTGCACAATTCCATTTTATTAATTCATCAATAAAATGAACACATGATTTAATTCAGTCTAGCGAATTGCCTTTTATTTATTTCTAAGAGCCACAATTCAATGGAATTATTTGAAAGAGTCAGAAATAATGAACAAATTCAATGACAATGATGTTAATAAAAAGAGAATAACGTTAAAATGACGAATCAGAGAACAGCTTGGTCTTCACGATGAACTTGACGTGAAGATGTGGAAAATCATTTATTAAATTGGATCTGTTAACTCGATAAATAATACAACGTGGAATCAAAGGCACAAAAGTTTGAGAGAATTATCTTCGTGGAGTCATTTAAGCACAAACACCAAGTTTGTTGTCCTTCATCATTTATTCTATTCAATTACTGTAGTTTTTTTTTTCATTCAGAATTAATGCAAAGCGGTAGTTACAAATGAGAGAAGTATTTAAGCCAAGTTTTATGTATTCTCCTACGCTAAAATGACTTTTTTTCATTCGTTTACTCCTGTTCATCATTACGCTTCGTTTTTTTTTTGTTGTTTTTCAATTCAATTTATCTTGCAAAATTTACGTTTTTTAAAATTGTTTTACGTTCATCAATTTAATTCTCTGAACACATCAATCGCGCCCAGATACATACTATCTAACAAGATATTGTTGATCCATCCGTAGTTGCCTGTATCTACCTCTTGTACAATAATTATCTCAAAAATTTGTCTAACACTATTAATCCAAGTGTGACAAAGTTCAGCGGATTATCTAACATAAGGCTGTAAAATATTGCTTTCACTATAATTATTACAAAATTTTACTCTTCTCGGATTAGAAATATTGTGCCTATATGATAATGTATAGTAGTTCCTTTGTATTTTTTTTTTACGTAGTAACTTGTTTCCTTTGTTTTTCACTTTACGCCTCTTTGTTGGTTGTTGGTGGTGTTTTTTTTTAATAAATCTTTTTATTGAAATATATATGCGTATATAATGAGAATTGGGAGGAGTATATCCCACGAAGTATCAACAAGTAGTGACTGATTACAGATAAATTTAATGATGAATTGAGGTGTTTTGTAACGGTGGAGCTTTCTCGAGATTGTGTGGCATTTGGATATTGGGATTTTTATTTGTTTTACGTTTGGAGGCTTGTTGTTCTTGTTGTTGTTATTGTTGTTGTTTTTATTGTGTTTCTTTTGTTGCTTTTACCGTTGATTTAAAAACCGTGAACCTTGAGCTGGTCAGGTTTGGCCAAACCTGATTTGGTTAACCACTGGCATATATTTTCACGCTGGTCCCCCTGCAGCTGAAGCACCTCCCCGTACTCCGGGTGCTCGATTACAGTCCCATTGCACGCGAACTCCTAAAAATTATTTGTTATTCATCATCCAATAGCTTACTAACTGTGTAAAAATCTTTTAAAAAATTCGGAATAGTTTCATTTCATTTTGTCAGTCGTCAATTGAGAGTTAATTAGACGTCTCAAGGCAATTGTAGGCGGGATGACAAATGAATTATGAATTATGTAAATTATTCCATCAGCACTCGTGACCTCAATCTAAAATAAATCAATTCAGCACGTTTTCCCAAGTTTAATTACTATATCGGATGATTTTCAAGGGCAAATGACCAATCAATGAGACTCGATTTGGTGGACAATAGAGCTCCACACGTTATTGTGGAATATGCTAGAAAGCTGAATATGTAGGCCAAGGACGTTGTCTAAATATAGAACAATTGTTAGAAAAGAAATGTTAACCGATTTGACGAGAATTCGCAACAGGAAAAAAAATAGAGGGATCTTCTATCCGTCGACGCGTAAGTCTTGATACATCGAAGGTCAAGTTAATGAGACAGAATTGAATAAAAAAAACCAAGATGTTAACGCATACTCTGACAAACACTAGGCCGACCAATGAGAAACATTTTGGCGTATCACTTTGAACTCACATTCGTTACACAAATTGTTCTTTGTTTTGAGAGAAAAAATGTCTCGTGTCATTCTATTTTCAGACAACAGGCTCCAGTCAGTGGAGTGAAGACGCATGGCTCGATTGGTATTTATCATGCGTAGAATTTGAGTTTTTCTTACCTTTTTACATGCCCGTACAATTTTTTTCAAGTCATATTCCGAAGATAGTCCTTGCACCGTTGTTAGGGTCTTGCGACCATTCCGCTGCTGAATTCTTATATGCACGAGACCGTCTTGGACATCATCATCTGAACCCTTGATTGCATCTGCAAAGGGGTCTGTGGGAAGTAAAATTATGAAAATTAGAAGAAAAAAAAATCCGCACTTTTATCTGCACTCTCCAGCAGTCAAAATGGCGCCGTATGGTGTGACGCGTGAAATTGAATAATTTGGGGGGAAAAAATAGGAAAATCATTGTTTCATCACTCAAATCATCAATCTGTCTGAATTGCGCGCTATGATGCAAGGTGAAGACGCTACCCTAGCCGCCATTTTGAGAAAAATCATTCGTCAGTCAAATGAAACATGTTTTCCAGTCGATAATTTTGTACTCACCGAATGTGTTAAGATTCTGGATGGACATACGACAAACAAAATATATCCCTCGGAGATATACGACTGCAAATTGCAATTTGTTTTTACTGATTGAGTATTAACTTGGACGTAAGGCTTTTTTTTCAACTCAATACCAGGGGGATGTGGAGTTGTGTAGAGGGGGATATAACCACACAGTCACTACTACGGAGATATACTGAGTAAATCCGAAAAAATTCCTGCCACGATGGTGCCCGAACTTCAACCGGAAGTAAAAGTTGCATTTGTCATAGGGTGGGGGGAGCATTGGGTGGGGTTTTCAACGCATTTGACGTTCGTAAAAACATCAGATGTTGCACTCACTGGTCAAAGTCCAACCCAAAGAGGATTGACTGAAGTAGAGGCTCAGTTCTGAGGGTTTGAGTGACCCTAGCGACATCGTAGTACTGCACCCCAAGAGAGGGAGGGCACCACACGCAACGCTGGGGTATCTGCTCGTTAGTCGACTCAACGACTCTTCAGTAGCAGTCCGGTACTCCCGCTGCCACAGGGACCAGTCGAAAGGAAACTTCCACAGAACATTAGAGATCCTGACATCCACAGGGCAGCAGTCTGGAAGAAATATTTTTACTCAATATAAAGATAAATAATAATTTTTTCATGGAATCATGTGCCTTAATACTGACTAGAATTGGTGCCCTGCACGTAACCAGCCCCACCATAGCCAGGGAATGATATCTATTCGCTGTCTCAAACACTTGTTTCAATTGATCGTCCTTATATTTCCCTAAAAAAAAAATATAAATAATTCTTAATCAAGAATATAAGAACCCGATGACTGAAAAAATAAAAAAATAACAACGACTTACAGCTAATGCAGCAGTTTTCGCAAACGAACCGGCATTCGAGCTGACGGCATTAGAAAACAGAA